AATTTTTCCTATGGGGCCATAGGAAAAGCCTAATCTAAGAATGCCCCAATTGAAATGAATATAGATCTAGTCATCAGGTTCGTCGTTGTTGCCAGCAATATTCGGCAAATGCCTGGTGTCTTCATAAATGTGAAGCCTGCTGGCAAAAGGTCTTTTGAGCAATTTCTTTGAACACGTACATCAATTACATTCCCATTAAGAACATGTTTTCTGAAGTATCTCCTATCATTCTTATGTTGATTCTTAAAATGTTTCAGTGAAAATCTACCTTTTAACTTCTCCCTGTTTGCATTCTGACCATACATTCTACGACGGATATTGCTTGTATAGCTGCGTTCTAGCAACCTGCAAAGTTTTGCCCCCTTGTTCAGATTCACCTTGTACTGCATTGGGAACTAAAGCTTGCTTCAAATGAATCACAACATAACTTGATTAAAATAATCAAATAAGAGAAGTGGTACGTTTCCATTCCTTGTTATCTAATTCTAATGTTAAAATCGATGGACACAATCAAATTACGGAAATTAATGAAGGTTAGTCACAAAAAGGAAAAACAATAACATAGCTGTGTTCTTCTCCTGAAATGATTATTTGAAAGCTTTTATAGGGAAATTACACAATCTTTACTCTTTTCTAGTACTGAACCAACATGCCAAAATGTGCTGAGACATAGCATGGCTTTAAAAGAAAAGTATTTAAAACTTATCTATCACAAACTACACCTTATTTTGAACATGAATTAGCATTCTGATATAAGCATAGTCAGGGAAATAATATTCCTAACTAATATTAAAATTTGCATTTGTTTTTGCACAGGGTTTGTACACATTTTTGCACATGGAAATTAAGTACTTTTAAGGACCATTAATGAAAACAATTAAGGACCTATGAACAAATGGGAACTGAATTCAATTAAAAATATTATCTATGCCTGAATTTCCCTTTTGTAACACCATCCTAAAAATAAAATAGATCCCTAAGTAGTATGCATTATTACTAAACATGAATTAATGAACATAATTATTAATAAGTTTGAGAATAAAATAAACTTTATATGCAATTTATCAAGTAGCATTAAATATTTTACATTTATAATAGTTGTTCATATTTGAAAGAAGATAAGTGACATTTACGTTTTAGTAACAGTTAGCTTTATGTTGATTTTTTTTTTTTTTATGTCTCATTTTGTCACATACTTGGTCAGTCTAGAGGTTTAGTAGAAGGTAGATTTTATGTGAAAGAGCATAGGTTAAAATGAGAAGTAAGATCATAATCAGCATGATTCATAACAAAAGACTAAATGTTGTCACTGCTGCTGCTTGTCTAGAGAGAGACCTGCTGATTAGAGGCCTGATGTAGGCACAGTTGGCAAGTGTTGAAAGTTGGTCAGGCTCTGTTTGATGCAGTTAGTGTTATAGCTTCGTGTACAGTTCCAGGGGTTGTAACCCAGTTAATATACTTTAAGGTTCCAAAAAGCCATTAAAGCATCAGAGGTGATAAGTTGTTTTGTATTATTTTAAGTCTCACTAGATGCACAGAATAAGTTTTACTTGAATTTTTACATTTTTGTATTTTTATCTTGTGACCACAGTAAGTGTTATTGAAAGGCAATAACTCGCTTTAATATGTAGAGATAATTTTTAAGGGTATGCAGTTAGTTATAAATAATTAAATTAGATAGTTTGATAACCTTAGTTATTATGGATTTATACTTGACCACAATTAAATTTTATTTTGCCCTATTAAAATCAAAATTTAATAAAATTTCAGTTTAAAATACATGTAATTTATGACATTGATTCTTAAACGATATAAGCTTCAAAACATAATGTTTTGTAACAACAAAATATTTATCCATCATTTTAATTGGAAGCCTTCCCAGACATTTTGGCTAGTTTATATCAATTTCCTTCTCTTTAAGCATCTTTTCTAACAATTAGAGATTTGTCTCAATATGCAAAACAATGCTCGATAGTTTCTGCATGCTTAATCTCCTAACTTGTCAACCTCTTCACAATGTACCTATGAGGGTTTACTTGATCTGGTAAAAGTTATGTAGTGCAAAATCCCCGACAGACGTGAAGCATATTATTGCTATGTCTGAAAGTAACTACAATATCAGACAAAGGTTTAAATAAGACACTTATTTAAAAAGAACTTAGAACATAGAGGCATGTTCTGATGCTAACAAAATCAATTACAGCTCATGGTGATGCAATTAAACAAGAACAGCCAAATTCAAACTAATAATGTGGACTAGTGGTCAAAGATTATACAATTTAATTTAAATTTAATCTGGCTCAGTAACTCTATCATATGAGGAAATAGAAATAGGAAATTATAGTAAAGGCTGAAATCATAAACAATTGGGCAATTAACATAATAATAACTGCACATATCTTTGAAGAATAATTTTCTTTATGTATTCAATTTCTTTCTTCAACATGTTTCCTTTTCATTTTAGAATTTTTGGATTTAATTAAGGATTTCTGTTATTCTAAAAAACACTAAATGCATTTAGAATATTCAGAAAAAGTGGCTAATTTTATTTTAGTAATATGAACATTCAGAAGAAATATGAAATATATATGGTAAAGGCTGGTTACAGAGCTGATGTGGCAGAATTTTTAGAATTTAGTGACAAACCGAACAAAAAAATCTAGAAATGGCAAAACATTTTAGAATTTAGAGCAGTTATTGGAAGCAGGATTTAGAAAGGTGCTAGGCAGCAGAATTTAGGATCCATAGAGAACTGCATCAAGTGGGAAAATGCCTAGTGCCAGCTATGTGTATGATGCATTAAGAACATATTAGACGATATAAATCTTTTAAATTGTAAGTTTTCAATTTCTTTTATTAATAAAAAAAACCCTTTTCTATAATGCTTGCCCAATGTGCCTGCCAAGATCAGAAACATTTTGGATATTTTCCATGCTTCTGTCTAGTGAAAAGTAGAGAAAATAAAGAATGATAAATATGTTAAGATTTTATGATCAGAAGTAAAACATTCAAATATTATGTTTTCATCTTTCTTCCAGACATTCTCCAAAAAGTAAGAAATTCATTGCAAACTTTCTGTAAAATACATCCATTACATGTTGATACTATGGAGACATTTTTCATTTTGTCACATACTTCTCGATTCTTCTAGAATCATGGGTCTATAAATCTTGCCTTCAAATCCTTCTAAACTTTCCACGCTGCAATGTCTAAAATCCTAAAGAAAAATTATCCCTACCAATTCTGTAACAGCAAAAAGCAAGAAATATTTTGGGGAAGAAAAAAAAGAGAGAAAAAGTGTAAAATTAATTTTATAGAGAAAACTTATGCATATTTTGAGAATTTTGAATATTCTGAGACAAACATGGGAAACTATGAAAAAATTAAAATGAAGACATTTTTAATTAATTACATAGCTAATTTTGCGTTTGCTAAGAGCTGTTTCATAAATTGTGCGTTATAGCATTATACCTTGTTTATTTTTCAGATTTAAAATATTGTATAATAAAGTTGCCAAAATGAAACTTCATAATATGACAGCAAAAAATAAAAATGTTTTATTTTAATGTTACTTTTTAAATATACTTTCAATATATTACCTAGAAAATGAATCAATTAATGAAATTAATCAATGTTATGATGTTTTAAAAAATCATCCAAAAATTCTCTGATCTCAAATTCTATAGAAAATGATCTTAAAATCACCAAAATGTTGAAAAGTCGCCAAGTTTAGAACTGTTTAATAAAGGAATTCACATCTCCAAACAAGAAAAGTTGTTTAAGAGCTCTTTATTAGAAAAAATGAATTTCAAAATGCTTATGTTTCACTTCTTGCTTAGACACTCGAGTATTCCATCATTTATATTAGAAATAGAAACAAATTATAACTCATGAACCCATTCAAAAGATAACCATATAGGTCAGTAAATCACCAAAAATATTCCTCCAAAATGCTAATTTACACTCAAAATGACAGTCGTAAAAACAGAAATTTCAGATGATTAAAATTAAGGACCTTCTGCTGATTTTGGCCAAAATTAAGGTCTTTTAAAGACCAAAAATTAATTCCAAAAAAATCTAAGGGCTCTTAAGAACCATACGTACACTGTTGCAGTCTTCAACGTTATTTTTTTTCTTAATGTTGTTTTGTATTGTACGCATTTATAATCAATTTTCCAGTTTAGATTTACATATTATGATACTGGCATCATTTTAAGTAAAATTCAATCAGTTTTATTCAACATTACAGGGTCTGCGCATGACGTTTGGTCCTTCAGCTCACAAAAATTTTCTCAGTTTTTATTGTTGAAATATTTAATATACTTGTTATCTTTAATTTTCCATTTTATGGGGATAAATGCATAATACAAAACAAAAAAAAAAAAGTCTCTTGCAACATTCTTGTCATTGTCAACATATGCTGCACTTCATTCAGGTGCATTCGATTTAATTCTTGACAGATGGATGATTATATATATGTGACACAGCACCAAAACTAAGTTTTTCCAAATTTTGACATAAAGAGCTTAACAGGTTTTACCATCACTCACATAGACCTATCTAGCAAAATTTATATTCATCACAACAGCCATAATAATGCGTTAGATGCATTATTAGCAACAGGAGCTGAACTATCTGAAAGAAATATCTGTTAAAAATGAATTTTGGGTATATGGTGTTTAACTATATTGTTAACAAAATTATATTCAATAAAATGATAAACACAAATTTACAATGAATTGGTTCAGTATGTATATATTAAATAAATTTACTGTAGACATTGAAAGAACTACTTGTGAGTAGCCGTACCATAGTTCCTTGCCAAGACTGAAACTTTCCTATTTCCATTTCTCATTCCATGTATCACAGAAGTGTTTTTTAACATGCAAAGATAATTTTAGACATCAAGTGGAAACCAGGCACGACATTATCCCCCCCAAAAAAAGATGTATGTCACAGATCACGAAGAATGAATGCAAAAGTAAACAAAATTCACTCACTTTTTTCTTTCACTTTTTCAATGAAAGATTTATCTAACTCACATTCTTGTTCCCAGTCTCCAGGGATTAAGTTTTTGGTATAGCTTATAAAATAATCAAGAGGACAAAATTCAGAACATCCTTCAATTTTCAGCACATGTGGAGTTTGCATTTCCTTCTCAGGATTGGTGGAATTTAAGTAAAGTAGACGAATAACATTCTTTCCATTCTTCTCATAAAGTTCAAATAAAAGAGATGAACAATATGGTGGTTGCTTCATATTGAAAAGATTTAGGGCTGCTAGAACCACAGCAATATTGGTATCATGCTAAAATTATAAAGAATTAAATCAGTATCAAACAGTATTAGTATGTTTGATCATTTCACGGTTTGTCTGTATCTACATAATTCTAACAAAATTCAATCTTTCTTTCAGAATAAATTTGTATTAAAAACATTTCAAATATTTCTGCAAATCCATAAATGATACAAGTCTTTCTTTTCATGACTTCATAAATGATGCAAATCATTCTAAATAATTTAATAAATAATTTTCAAGAGAGAAGAATAATGTCTCTTGTAATCTAAAGAACCTTTCTATTTGAATTAACATAAAATAAAAGGAGAATTTTAATATCCAAATTATAAGTTTTATGTAGTTCCATATTTCTTCTCTTCAGACGGAAAAATTTCCTAACTAAAGACTTCAAATTACAATCTATTATTTCAAAGAAGTCTAACATTAAATATTTAAATCTTTTTTTTTAAATATTAAAAAATTATTTAACATTTATATAACAAACATACAACATTAAAAATCTTTAGCTTTCAGAATGGCAACACTTCAAGACTATGCTATATGGAAGGCCATATGGATGATAAATTAAAGGCCTTATGTTTCCCACAGTAGCGATTATTGCTAAGAACAGCTTCTAGATTATTTCTATTTTCCCTGTCCATCAAATTTTTCAGGATAGAATTTTATATGATATGTGAAATTAATACAGCCTCTTCTAGGGGCTATAAAATTTATGATTCAGTAGTTAATTAAAACTAGGAAACAACACCCAATTTCAAACTATTAAGTCATCATGAAAGTTCTGCAGTTTTTTTCTGATAAATGAAAATTTATTAACTCAAAAAACATAAAATGTCACTAAAATCACATAAACACTACTTTGTTCTATGACTTTGCCATCTCTTCGGCAGCTAGAAAAATAAATAAATAAAAAATAAAAAAATGCCATAAGGTTTATCTGTATGGGAGAATTATAGGCTTTCAAAACAAACTTTTAGTTTAAAGTTTTGGCAGTCAACACAAAAAGAGCACATCACTATTCCTATGCAGACAAACTCATATCCCTGGCTGAGGGGATGACAGACATTTTTAAAGTATAATTAGACAGCAAAAAAGAGCCATGTCATGCATCACCCCTTGAAATGTCATTCATAAGACAGCACATGTGCCATGATTAAAAAAAATTATTCTCCCTTTTGTCATGTGCAAATTGAACAGCTTATATAAGTTTACTTTTTCCATCTGTATTTTTTGGACTTTGCCAGTTTCATCCCTTGACAGACAGAAATTGAGCCTCTTGCAAAAGGAGAAATACCTTATTTTGTCATGTACTTTTCCTTTTCTGGCAATTAGGAATGGTACTTTACAGAAAGCTTTCTCTCTTTTTTCTGCCTCATTCCTCAAACAGCTACCAGGAGGAAATTTCCCTGAGAATTTCATAAATTCAGGAAGAAAATGTGGTCAGCCTTTTGAGCAAATGTTGATTCAAACTAATTGCAAGGTGCCTAATCGCATGCTCTCATGGTCGTTTGCCAGGATCCGAAATTTGTTGTCTTTTCAAAAGTCTGTGAACTCAGCAAAAAATAGTCGAAAATAATAAAATCATGAAACCGCCATGATATTAGCCTGCAGTATGTGTGCTTATTTTTAAGGACATTTAGTCATTTAAATCAGTCAAAAGCTCATTTTAAAATTACTACTCACCATCCAACGATACCAAACTAAATTTTTTACTCAAGCATGTGATTGGGCATATTCCTTGGCCGACTGCCATGTGTTGAAAGTCATACATGATGAAAGCCACATTTCACGGTTTGTCTGTATCTACATAATTCTCATCATCCTTCTTTAAGAAATCTTAAATCATTGTTAAAAACTAAACATTTTGTTGCCGTAAAAAAGTTTCAAGCATCTTTTCATAGTGATGGGGAAGAAAAAAGAAACAACAGAAAAGTAGATATTTATCAGAGGACTGGTCAAATTTATCAAACAGTGCCATAACCTGGCTTGTGGAAAGCAAACAACTGGGCATGATGTCGCAGCAGTTATCCATTACAGACAACAAAACAAGCTTTCTGCCAATGCTTCCAGAAATATCAGGAGTGATGGAGAAGGAACAACTGTTTAAAAAGTTTTTAAATAATTATGTTTTACATTTCAAACAGAACTGCCTCTAAAGTATTTTCTGCATGCTTTTTGAATATAAGAGTATATAAATAAAATAACTTCATGATACTTTGCTTAAATTGAAATTTAAATTGAGAATAAAAAATAAGACTAATAGAATAAGAGTAAATTTAATGCTGAGAGGAAAATTCATACACATTTAAAAACTAAAATTAAATTTAAGTTTATAAATAAAGCTCTCATGAATACATAATACTTACAGCAGAATAAATTTGCACTTTCTGATCTGGGATATCACCAGATAACTTCAAATTCATTTTTTCAATTATTTTTTGAAGCAAAGGACCTATTGAAAGGTATAAAATAATGTTGTAAATTTACACTTCAAATGATTTATATGATTGTAAGGGCAAATTTAAATAGCACTTTATGATATTTATTGCATTTATATAGTGAATCCACCAGGAAAAAGTATGTACATTTCTGAAGGTTTATAAATATAACATTTATGAAGATACATGTAAGTTTTATAGTCCAGATTAAGGAACACGAATGGAAAATCTTTTTAAATATTTAAATTGATGGCCATTTTAAAAGATGTGTTACTGATAACATGGCCCAGTGAAACTTCAAAATATCAAAAATTCATTTAGTATTTGGTTGTATTATCTTTCAAAGGCTGGAACAGAGAGCTTTCAATCAAACAGTAATTAATTTATTAATTATTTAAGTATTTTTTCCTATTCATGTTGATATTTTAATTGTTATTTAATTACCAGTCAGAAAAATAGCTGACAACATTAATTAAGCTGATCCATTTAAGAAAGAGTTTAGTGGGATAAATTTTTATTTAATCATTTAACCAAGAATTATTATTGGTTTTATTTTGATTTTTGCAACTTACAATTTTTATGTATTATATTAATTTTATTTTATTTATTCATAATTAAAATTGTATTTTATATGACTGTTTCTTTATGAGGTATTTAGAAAATTTCATTAATTAAAGAAGATATTGAATTCAACTGTTGCTGTATTTGAGCAAATTTCCACAGAGAAATAAAACCTTTATATATGTATGTATGTAACAATATTTTGTATAGTGGATACTGGTATAGATTATTAAAGATGTAGCTGCAGTTATGGGTAGTTAAACATTTCACCATTCTTGAAGGAAACATACAAGGCTTAACTGATGCAAGACACACATCCACTTTAATAAAATTACAGACATGCTTTTTACATATTTTGCATAATTGCAATAAGGAAGAGAACTGGCAGACAACATTTTAGAAACACAGAAAATCATGAGAAGTGACAATAAGATTGCAATATGGATACTATATTAAGAATAATTATTTACAGACATGCTTTTTACATATTTTGCATAATTGCAATAAGGAAGAGAACAGGCAGACAACATTTTAGAAACACAGAAAATCATGAGAAGTGACCATAAGATTGCAATATGGATACTATATTAAGAATAATTATTTCTATTGAGTGGTCCAAGTTTTAATTTGCAAATTTGCATTATTACTGATTAAAAGATTTCAGTTTCACTTCTGCTGTGAGTACATGCACTACGAGTGTTATGTGACAGAATTGCCCTACAAGCATTTTTTGAAAAGGACTTTGAAATGATGCAGTTGAGAAAAAATTATTATAAGCATGCTATTATATTTAAAATAACCAAATTAAAAAGAGATTTGACAGGATTATTACAAGATAAAGATAGAATATTATCTTACCATATTTACTCACATATTTTCCTACCAATTCCACTACTTAAAAACAAGGAGGGGAAAAATATGTTTTGTATACAATTTCTAAAGAGGGGGAGGGGGTGTTATAACATTAGAAAGCATATTGCTATTATTTATTACAGTGGAGCTTCATTTATACATCTTTCAAGGAACCATTCACAAATGACATATGTATAAATGAGAAAGCCATAGAAATGAAACTTTACGATATGAAACATATACCTACTGACTGCACAATTTTGATACTACTACCTACTACTAATATCACACAATTTTATTATGCTACTTTCAATTTGTTTAAAATATTAACATGGTCAAACAAATTTAAAATTAATATTTTAACCAATTTTTTTATAATTAATATTTAAAAATGACATTAATAGAAATGTAATATTATTAAATCATAAAAATGCAAATTTCTATATATATTTATGTAAAATTGATAAAAAAGTCATACCTTTATTTGAATTACTATCCTGAATAAGTATTTTTTTCTTTCAAAAAACATTTTAAAGCAAATTTTAACTTTAAAAAAAACTTTAATTGTCATCTCTTTTGATTCATAATCTTTAGTGAAGCGCTATGAATTGAATTCATTCCTTGAAATGTTTTATCACTAGTATTATTACGCACAAAGAAATTTCTCAGTGTGTCAATGCAGTAGATAGCATTTTGAAAAGAGGGTGGAATTATTTCTTCATTTTCTTGTTCATCCCTGCTACTTAAATGTTCATTTTGCAAACTGTTTTCAATCAGCTCTTCAACTGTACATAGCTCTGACGTTATTACACTGGCATCACAGTTTTACATATTCCATGATTGTAATGGCTAATCCCAGTAGTTTCCAATCTTCTTCATTAACAATCACAATTTCATCATCATTTTCCCAGTCAACACTTTCACTTGGATTCAAAAATACTCCTTTAATAAAGCAAGTTTTAATTGTTTGTGGTTTTACTTGAAACTTACTTTGTGGTTTGAAATCATATTCATAGCCTCAAGACTATTAATTTTTTTTTTTTTCTGTTAATTTCCTGTAGTTATATTTTGAAGGGCTAGTTGAACCAACCTCTGCCTCCAGAACATTTTCAAATTCTTAACAACATCCAAATTTAAAGGTTTTATTACACTAGTACAATTTGCAGGAAGAAAACAACTTTACCATTTTTAAGAAATCTAGTACACTGAACCATAAAAAGTAAAATTTTATGGTTTTATCTTTTCACAGTGTTATTTATTTTCTTGCCCATTCTGCAAAAATGTCCATGGTCATCCATGCTTTCTTATTTGCTTTATATTCCAGTGGCAGACTTTTAATATGCTTGAAGAACCTTGGTTTTTACAACTTTCCTATACCTAAAAAGTCATTTTTTCTGTACCATTAGCATTTGCAGAAAGAAAAACAGCAAGATGTTCTTTACGTTGCTTAGCTTCATAACACTGGTTACTTTTGAAAACTAGGGTTCTTGCAGGCATAATATTAATGATAAGAGCAGGTTCACCAACATTAATAATGTTTTTTAACTCATCTATTTTAGTGGATAAATTCTAGAACCATTCTTCAGCAGTAAGCCTTTTTGATTCTCCATTTATTATAAGACATGAGATTTCATGCTGCAATTTAAATTTATGCAGCCATCCAGTTAAAAAGTAAGTTTTTTTCACATTCAATCAAAGTGCTATTTCTTCTGACTTCTCGATTAACATGAAGTCATTCACAAAAATTCTAAATCCAAGATATTGAATGCAAAATTTTTGAAAAATGGATATAAGTTTAGGAAGCTTTCCACCTTGAACATGCAAGTTCTTTGAAGTGAACTGTCTATAAATGTTTGCTCTTTCTTTGCTTTTTTATATAATAAATAACCATTTTTAGTGTTGTCACAGGAATATCCAGTTTCTTTGCTAACTGGACTTACTGGTATTCTCACTAAATTCTTTTAAGATTTGAATTTTATCATTTAATAAGAGTGTCCTTCACTTTCATGACATTTTGTATCAGTTAATTTTGCTCCACCTAGTTTACTAAACACAGAGTTCTCTTATGAAGAAAAAACTGTCTATTCTTCTTTTCAAGTATCCCCTTGATTCGTGAAATGGCTTTTGAACTTCTGTACCAGACTATGAAATCTCATGTCTTGTTTCTTTCTCCTATCCCCATTTCTAAGAAAAATACTTCAAAGCCTTGACTTGTAAAGTGCAAAACCAATGCAGTAAGTCAAACAAAAGTGATGTATAACCAAAGCTATCTGACATATAAAAGAAATACTTTATTATTAAAATAAATAGGACTGAATCAGAACCAAGATGAAATGACATACAAACAGTGCTCCACCATATATATTTCAAAGGGCTTATAAATTTCAAAATATTTTTATAACTTACACAAAATAATTAATTTCCTATTTGTGCATATATTTTACATTGGTACCTTAAACCCAAATTTTCTAAACAGTATACTGAAAAAAACTAGGACAAAAAGTACACAAAGGAGAGAAATTGTGAGCAAATATATATACAGTCATCACTCATTGCAATTTTCTTTTATTTCTTTATACGAGGGCCATCCAGGAAGTAGATTACGTTTCCGTCTGTGTCCGCTAGGGGCGGGGCTAGCGCGGCCATCTTGGGGTCAGAGCGTTGCGCAGCTCAGTCTGCATCTAGCCGTGCTAGTGAGAGGTTCGTGCTGTGCTCCGTTCAGATACTGTGACGGTTTGAAATGTCTGCGTTAATTGAAAATCCCGCGAGCTGCGAGGTGCGCTCAGTAATAAGGTTTCTGACTGCAAAAAACTGTAAACCGATAGAAATCTATCGGCAGCTTCGTGAAGTGTATGGGGACAACATTATCACTGAAGGTGGAGTGAGTGCGTCAGTGGGTCATAAGATTTCAAAATGGCCGAACCAATGTTCACGACGAAGATCGAAGTGGGAGACCCAGCATAGTGACCGCCGCTGAACTTCTCGAAAAAGTCGATGCTAAAGTCCGTGAAAATCGAAATTTCACAATAACGGAACTTTCTTTGAGTTTTCCACAAATTTCGCGAAGTTTGTTGCACGAAATCATCAGCGAAAAAGCTTGGTTACCACAAGTTTTGTGCAAGATGGAAGGCAAGAAGAAGTAAGGTAACGAAGTGGTTGAAGGCGCAGGCGGCCGAATTTTTCGACGAAGGAATTTCCAAGCTTGTACATCGCTACGATAAATGCCTTAATTTGTATGGTGACTATGTAGAAAAGTAGTATTTGAGTGTGGCTTTCATCTGTATATAATAAAATTTGTTTCCTATACTTTGTTTATTTTTTTATTCCAAAACGTAATCTACTTTCTGGATAGCCCTCGTAGTTCAGAAAGTTCCTAAATTATGTTTCATTGATTTTACAACAAAAGAGAACCTAACTGAATTCATGCAGAAAACATTATAACTAAGGTTTATAATAATAGACTTTGTGCTTTTTCCAGTGAAAAACATAGTTTATGATCATGCTACAAGAAGAAATAATGATCAATGAATGTGTTTCCCTGATACATGTTCAGACCTGTGTTTGCTAGAGATACTGAGAAAAAATCGTCCAGTACTATTACTGCGATCACAGAGTATCAGGAATAACTCCATAAAGCACAAAATTTCAATTAATTCATCAGCATTTATTACATCTCCTTAAAAGTAATCCCTTCTGGCTGCATTTACAGTATTTATATCAATATCTTTTACAATCCATGAAGCATGTTTTAACATTATCTTCGCGAAACTCTTTCAGGATTTGCAGGAAATTTTCTTTCACTGCACCAACAGAGTCAAAATGATGACCAAGAAGTGGCAATTTTAACATGGAAGTAAGAATAGCTCACAAGGTGTGACATGAAATGAATATGAAGGGGTGCTAGGCTTTCGGCCACCTGGTTTCTTTGCTCAATAGTAAATGTTTTGCCACCCTCAAATTCTGCTACTGCACCAGCCCTGGATTCCACTGAATATCATATAACCCTTATACACCAACTTGAGGAATTATTATTTATTATTTTTTGCTTTCAGTCACCATTTGACTATTAACTGACAGCAGCTTGAGAAATGACTCACACAACAACATCTAAAGCAGTTTTTGTTTTTAATATCAGGAATACCAAACAGGATGGTACCTTTTATGCAGACATTATGCTTTGTGAAGATTACAGACCTCAGCCAACTATATTGGGAAAGGTTGTGTTGATCAGAAGAAATTTCTAAAAAACAGATCTTGTAAATAATATTCACATGCTATTTAGTGCTTTCTGAATTTAGAAATAACTGATTTGTTGGTCTAATAAACCTTAAGGGTATTTCTTCATTATGCAACTGCCATGCTTTTTGATGCACCTATCACTTGACAGGTATTGTGTGTGTGTTTGCCATCTATAAATTATTCGTGCAACTAAAAATTGTTTACATTAAGAAATCCATAAAAATGCATGGCAGCGGCAAAATGGAAAAGCAATACTTTAAGAATACATGGAATTCATCAGGACTCAGATAAGCCTAAAGCAGGCCAGTGCAAACTTTGTGACTCCAAAATTCTCCACTCAGTTTCTTCCTAAATTCTAAAAAATTTGCAACCTAGTGCATTTCCACATGCTCTGCCGATGGCCCTGGCCTTAAGCAGGAAGTAGATGTAAGCATAATAAATAATAAATCTAATACAGTTCAGGCTTAATTAACTCAAGATGCAATAGAAACAAGACAAATTTTAGTGGAACAACGTCTTGCTACAGCACCAGTCTCATGATATATAGCCAACAGTGGACACTGGCTAAGCTTTATGATGATAGTTGTAAATTTGAAGGTTTTCATGCAGTGCAAACAAAAAGCAAAATTTTCAATTTAATGGAATTTGTGGAGAAGTGGTAATTATATAAAGTATTCCATTACCATTTTTGGGGCATTGCATAATGCCTCAATAATCAGTCAATTAACAGATAGCAAAATTTGTAATAGGGTTCCAAATTCAGAAAATACTGCTACTGATAGTGAAGAAAGTGATAGAGAAGTTGTTGAGAAAGAAAAAAATTTTATTAAAAATTTAGTGGGATTTCTCAAAATGACCCTTACACGAAACTGAACAAGAAATTATGTCCATGTATAAAAATAAAGAGAATGTATCAGCTCATAAAACAAAAAAATACATTTTGAGTTTTTGGTAAATACTGATTCTCTTAAGGTTGAAAATGCTTCATTATTTTATAAAACTATTTTATACTTTTAATTTCATAATTTCTACATGTCATCTAACTATATTTAAAATGATATTACAAGAAAATAAATCAAGTTAAAAAGTTAGTTCAGAATCATAATGAAAAAAAATACCATTTTATAATCCTTATCTAATGTAACAAATATGTACTAATACCTTAAAAGAACGGATGAAATTTTAATAAATCTTACATTTTTATTTGGTCCTGTTTTACTGATAAATTCTAAATAAATGTTTTCAAGTTAAAAAAACCTACCGATTTAAAAAATTTTCAAGTTTAAAATAAATTAAATCTGTAAAGTGCCTGTTTCCTTATTTCCCTTTGTATTAAGTAATGAGATTTAAGAAACATAATAAAATAGCAATGTCATATTTTGGCTATCACAGAAATTTACAACACCTCATTCGACTAAAATTTTGCAAGTTGCAGGAAATATGCACATGTGGCTTACCAGCACGAAGTCGATGGAGTAAAGGTGAATTAAAAGTCCAGAAAAAAGAAAGATCAGCAACTGTTTCTAGCTCATCCCAAAATGGCTCAACCCAGGATGGAACAGTAAGATTGTATTTTTTCTAAAGAAATAATAAAATAACTTAACATGGACACAAATTTAACAGCACTTTTAATTATTTTCAAAATGTAAACTTTTATTAAGATATATTTGTTTTGTTAATGTAATTCATTTCAATCATTAAATACATGTGGTAATTCGCTCCTATAACTCATCCTCCTTTTCCTAAATCTGGCAACAGCGACAGCGGCGAGTGCGAGCTGCGTGAGGAAATGGACAGACCTTGCATTCCGATGAGGTTAGAACACTGTGACGGATGCAGCTGAACTATGCCTTTCGACGATGTTAATTTACGATGTGATTCCGTTTCATGATGAATAGACTTTTTATCTTACTTCCTTTCACACTGTAAATACCATAATCATGTTTATTCTTTCATCATTAAATACCCTTAAAATGCTACTGCCTTCCTCTATTTTAATCCTAACCTCATCCTACATGGGGGCTCAGCCCCACGAACTCTTTCAACTCCTTAACCTAAAATCTGTTCTTCTCTTCAGCTTTTTAAATCCCCTAGACTACCACCGAATATAACTATCAATGATGGAATACTTTGGAAACCTATGGAATAATATCGCAAGATTCCCAGTTGTTGTGAATTCATCAGCACGTAAGTTAGAGCTAATTTTATTTGATGAAGTAATGCTAATCAGGAAGTAATATTCTTTCAAGTTATTATGAATATTTGATGACGCCTTTTTTTATGAAGTTTATTTGAAGAAGCGAAAGGCATTTGATTTTGATGAAAATTCATTTTATTTTGAATGATTATTACTTTGAAGGAATTAACACTTCCGTTTTCGAATTTGATGTTGATGATAATTAATTAAACAGCTTTGATGAAGTTTAATTGAATAAACTAAAGGTATTTGATTTTGATGGAACTACATTACTGACTATTTACAGAATTGATATATTAAAAAAGTTACTTTGAAGAATTACTTTCGTTTTTGAATTTGATGCATAAATTTCTTACTTCTTGTGATGCCTATATTTTACAAGGACTGTAGAATATTATTTTAAGTTACTAATTTTGATATCATATCTTAACGTGAAATTCTATTCTTAACATAGTCTTATATGAAGATTTGTTTGACGATATATTTTACCATTTGTTTGAATCATATGTTCACAATTTCATTTATCATTTTTGAGTGTTTTAACATGATAGTTATTTGTGTAATATGCTAAGAAGAATTAATATTATTGTGAAGAATAAGAAAATTAAGAATATATTTTGGTATGCTAATTTCTGATAAATATTTAATACCAGATACATATTTGATGAAATCGAAACATACATATTTTGTGAATTTCATATTTGGTAAAAACAAAACTGATAAATAATGGCTACACTTAATGATTATCCCAACATTGCACAGTCATTAAAAACCGCCAGTACCAAGCATATCAAGCTTTTACATCGTTTACTTTTTGGCTCAGATGGTGATCGGCAGAATCGTGCTAGGTTACGCAATTTTTCTGGTTTTCCCAAACCATTTAACTTTGAAGAAACGAAACAAAAAATTATAAAAGAATTTTCTCTTGCGGAAGTAACTGCCATATGTAACTTACTATATTTAGAATTTTCCACCTATTGAAATAACGTAATTGATCCACCTATTGAATAATGAATATTGAAAACTGTGCTAACAATATTCTTACGAATCTAGCTGATGTATCCTTATTAAAATCAGATTCCGCTGAACTACAGCGACCTTGAAGAAGACGCTTTGGTGCAAAGTTCACCCTCGACGCGCATAGCGTCGCCCAAACAGCCATTAATCACACTCCCGATGGATCTTTATGTAAACAAATGGAGTCAAAAATCTCTCTTGAAAGCGCGCCCTGGAAATTTATTGCTTCAACTAACACAAACACACAGACTGTTCCGTTTCAATGTTTTGGCTTAAAGGACATTGTTGATTTGATCAAATCCTTTTCCTCTCGGGATAATTACAGGGTTGAAACTTTTATTTCAGACATTGATGACATTTTTAATCTCTATGAAATCACGAATCCTGTACACCAAGTAATTTTTGTTAAAAAACGTTTTACAGGTCCAGCTTTAACATTAATCAGATCAATTCGTGGAATTACTAATTGAGAACAATTAAAACACCATTTATTAGATTAATTTTTGGAAAAAATTAATAGCCTTCAATTACATAAAATAATGGAATCTCGTCACATGAAAACATCTGAAACTTTACAAGAATATTTTTTAGCTATGAGAGACCTCGCACACAAAGGTTCTATGGATGATTCTTCTTTGATTGAGTATGTGATACATGGTATTCCTGATTCATCAAACAACAAAATAATTTTATACGGTTGTAAATCCATTCCTGAATTTAAAGAAAAACTGAAGATTTATGAAAAACTCTTTAACAATTCAAAACATTTGAAGCAAAATACTCGAAAGAAATTTACAAATTCCTTTTCCCAGTGCTAAAATTCATGCTAAACGTATACCTCAGACACTCAACCAGTATGTTATTCTTGTGGTTTAAAAGGACTACAAAAGCATTATTGTACAAATTGTCCTAATAAATCTAATGGCAAATTCTGTTATGGCTGCCAAAATTATGGTCACATTCATTCCAACTGTCCCAAACGTTCTTAGGTAGTTCTACCACGGAATCTGCTCCTAATTGTTCTACATCTGATAGTACTGTAAATGCACTTTCTACTCAAAAATTTTCTAAACATCCTATGCATGTTGATATTCAACTTAAAGGAAGCTCAGTTAACTGCTGTCTATGACACTGGATCACAAGCAACACTGATTACGGATGAACAAGTATACCGCAAAATTGGTTCTCCACCATTACATCCTTCCAGAATTACATTCCCAGGACTTGGCCGAGACACAGTTCAAAGTATTGGATTCTTTCAGGACTACATTCAAATTGAAAACACTATTTTACCTGTTAAAATCCATGTAGTCAAAGACTATATGATTCCTCTTAATGCCATTATCGGAATAGACGTTTTGCAACAAACTAAATTTACATTTGATAAAGATGGTATTCATTTATGCAACAATAATAATGATCAAATTTTTGTTAATGTTGCTAATGCTACTCATGATCACACATTTCCACCTGATCTTTCACACATCTCAAAATTGGAAAAAATTCTCGAAGAAGTTCAACATCATTACTCCTCACAACCCACACGAAGTTAACACTGCTATGGAAGATTTTCAGAAAATAACAGAAAATGAAAATCAGTTGAAGGAAACAGTTAAGGAAAATGATAATGATGATGCACATGATGATACAGAATTGGATTTAGATGATTACACTTTGGATTTGGATGATTACGATGACAAAGATTATGCTGATAACAATCATGGAGCTCATGACGATGATGTTGATGAAGATGGTGATAACGCAGACGACGACATGCAACAACGCAGACAAGATCATGCTATTCATGATGACGACAATCATAACGCTAATGGTGCTGATGATGATGATGGCACTCATGAAGCTAATGATGATGATGATGTCGATAATGATCTAGACGTGCAAAATAATGAAGAAACTGTGAAAAATAAACTGAATCAATTTGAACAAGCATGTGCTAATCAAGCAAACGAGAAAACACCTGCTAAAAGTGCAGAAATTACCAAAGAACAGAAAAATAATCCAAGGAAACTACTTGTCTCTGGCATTCCAGTTGAAGCTTTCGAGGCAAAAAAGAATGATGAAATATTTGGAAGAAAAATTACTGTTTCATACATTTTATCTGCTTCAAGCTTAAAGAAACGCAAGAAAAGAGCTTGGAAATATAAACGAAGAAAATTTAAACGAACTTCAAAGACAATGAAATTGCAGACACAGCATGATGATGAAAAAGCTGCATTATGCATTGAAGCTCAACGGAACCTCCTCCGTTTACAGCAAGCACATATACGACAGTATAAGAAACGTCGCAAACCTGCCCGCAAATATAAACTTTGACACCAAATGCCAATCCAGCCTGAACTGAAACTTCCACTTGGATTTCTTCGACTTGAACTGAAACTTGAACTTCATCCCAAATTTTTCGGTCTTTATGTGAAAGTTCATCCCTCTCATTATTACGAAGTACGAAAGATCCGCCATGAAGACACCATTATGATGTCAACCTGTACTGATAAGATGAACTGGTGGTGCACAAAGCTAACATTTGCCACCTGGACATTGATTTTTTTTCACTTTCTCTGCTTTTTTTTTTTTTTTTTTCTTTTCAGATCAACCCCCAGGCGATGATGCCCGGCAAGGCAGAATGGCCGTGTGGTAATTCGCTCCTATAACTCATCCTCCTTTCCCTAAATCTGGCAACAGCGACAGCGGCGAGATACTTCTTCAAGCTGCGTGAGGAAATGGACAGACTTGCATTCCGATGAGGTTAGAACACGGTGATGGATGCAGCTGAACTATGCCATTCGACGATGTTAATTTACGATGTGATTCCGTTTCATGATGAATAGACTTTTCATCTCACTTCCTTTCACACTGTAAATACCATAATCATGTTTATTCTTTCATCATTAAATACCCTTAAAATGCTACTGCCTTCCTCTATTTTAATCCTAACCTCATCCTACATACATATGTTGTATGACACAATGTGTAATTTAACATAAGGGTACTTATATTTTAGCTGAGCATAAAACATGATTTTGAGATGCTTAAAATAAGAAATGTTATACATTGCTGAATGCAATATTATTCAAAGAAAATATACTATCAAATATTAATTTTATCCTTTGCATTATAATTTTTCAATAAGAACAAAGCTCTGTACCAGCATGCAGAGCTGGGTATGTGAGGGAGTGAGGTGAGGTTTGTGAGGTAATTCGCTCAAGTGAACAACTAGAAAAAGGTCCTAAATTAGTTCAGGATACTTAAAAATTCATTTTAAAAAAGAAATTACAATTGTTAAGTATCAATTTTGGAACACATCAAGATGCACCAAAAGAATTTTGTGTCATAAATAATTCAGCTA